GGCAAACATTGACAATTTCAGTTTTCCCTGACGCACTTGGACAATTATCTGGCAGAGTAAATTGGAATTGTTTGTTTTTGTTGCGTGTGCATGGTGGCTGGCTGGTACTGAACTCTTGCCCCCTCCCACAAAAAGGAATATAATTTTAAAAGTCTGACCGGGTGGCAATAAATCTAAAATTCATTGGCCCAATGCTTCTTTGTAACCAGCACCACAGTAAAACAAAACAATTACATGTAGTTACTCATTCATAAAATTTCAAAATTAGCCGCACGATCGGGCGCTTTTGACTTAAATTAAAAATACTTGTTCCATTTTTTTTCAGCGCATATGAATAAAACCTGTATTTTCAATCAGTTGTTCAGAGGGCATGCATTCAGTTGCTCTGTCTTCATTTAAAATTGATTTGATTGAGCACTTGAACTTACTGTTGTGCGATGGTGTGCAGAGAAAGCTGATCTGCCGTCTTTGTGATAGATTTCACGTTTGGTTTCTTCATATTCATTAAGGATGTTCTGGACTGAGACTCTTATGAGAAGGCAAAAAAGCCTTGCATAATTCTTGCAAATTAAAACGTACACAACTTAAAACGTACGTAACTTGGTGAGACAGAATACAGTAAGTATACCCTGAATGATGGAATGGACATGTTATGTACCGCTGTATTTTTTTTAACAACGGAGAAGTGTTTTAATATACGTGTAGATTACAGATGAAAACAAGTAAAAAGTGCAGGTGCATTTTTGCCGTCTGCTGCTGGTTCTTGGAAAGCAGAAATGGCTAATAAAGCATGCTAATAAGTACATACGTGTCCTACCAGGTTACAGGTGTCTGAGATTAAGAAAGGTTAACAAAGGTTGGAAATTTTGAATAGAAACAAAGATTGTCATCTCAGAAGTCTTGTTCTCATTAGGGGTAGAGGACCTCGATAATGAATGCAAAACAGGAATACATGTAACACAGCAACTGTGATGACAAAAACAGAAACAGCCATTCGCCTCCAGACCCTTCCTTCTCTGTCTGCTGGATTTTCAGCTCGCGAGGACTCTTGAAATGCCAGTAAAGTGGTTTCAGTCCAAAGGAAATTTCCCCTGGGGGAAGGGGGGTTTGGGGGTCGGGTCTGTGCATCTCATTATGGCGATGAATGGCAAAGTGTCCTTTCGCGTACAAGGGTGACACGCGGTAGTGTACATGTATGTGCTTGTATGAGGATGTGGAATCAACCAGTGGAGAAGGCAGCGGTAGGTGTTTGAAGGCCAACAATTTTTTAATTTGTTGGATGATGAATTGACTTAACCCTAAATATATTTTACAATGTTTGAAAGAAAATAGAATGAGAAACTTCCTCTTTTCTTTGCCGGTGAGAGTTTTTAATATTTAGGGAAAGATTTTTCATTTTTTCCCCTTGATGCAGTGTTTTGAGTGAAATGAAACAACGTAAAACCAAAAAAAAAAGCAACACCACCAAAATTAAAATACCGTACATGTAGGTGTACGACAGTTACCGTTATGTAAAGACAGAAAGTTACGGAAACAGAGAAAGAAAGTGTTATTCCTGAAAATACCGGTAATTGAATTAATGATAAGAAAGCCAAAAACTGAAAGGTGGTCATCTACGGTACTTGTAATTTCATTAGGTGGTACAGTACCAGTGGAAAAACTACATGGAGGCATTGAAGCCCCATTTGTTTATTGACTTTACGGTCTATGAGGACAATTCAGTTAATGAACTTTCACTGCAGCTTACAAGTGTGTATTGAGGTACAATGCACATATATGTGCCGGTACATTTACACGCAATGTACCCGTACAACTCAGGCATGAGATTTTTCAGAAATTTGTTTGAGTTCAGACATTTTGAATCTGAAAGAAAGCATTATCGGTATAGGAGGAAATGCACCTTCAGACTTTTTATACCCAGTGTCAGGTTTTGTTTTTTTTTAACTGATAATCTCATCCCTGACAACTGGGGCAGAGAATGACACTGGTATGCATCGTACATGTACATACAGTCTGCATATAATCCCCGTCATACCGGTACATGTAGCAAGGTTTTCTGTACCTGTGGACACCCACTCATACCGGTAATTGGTACCTTGCATTGTAATCCCACATAATTAAAACTACCAGTACACCTACCGAAAGCATCAGTGGTGTGTGTAATTACATGTACCGCCGCCAGCATCAGCTTCCCTCGTCAAGGTCAAGTGAAGTGTATCAGCATGAAACTTTATCAGATCATAGTTTTAAGTCTCCTCTCAAACTGTGTTGCGCTTTGAATGTGGGATTCATTGTTCTTTTGCTGTGAGCTTTAGAATCGTATACCAATACTAGTAGTGAATGTTTATGAGTGCGATAGTAAGAATGATTGCATTTGGTGACGGACGAAATGGTCTATTATACAAGGAATAGACCGTTTCTTCTGTCATCGAATGCCGTTATTCTTACCATCGCACGAATGGAAAACATAAATCCTCGTCATCTGATTTTCTGATCACAGCTTGATTAATTAACTGAGTCAAACTGGAAGTTGACCAGGTCTGAATCTGTTACTTTTTGATATAATATTCCTAGCTTGTTTTATCCTTTGGCAGCATTTTATCTGTTTCCATATGTTGGCAGCATCAGCGTTACTTACTAAAACAAGCTCTTGTAATTATTTCTTTTAATTATTTTGTAGAATTGTGAGCGGCGACGGCACAGTTGTTATAAATTTTGTGTGTGTGCGTCGCGCGTGTCGTGCGTCAGCTGTGTTGGTAAAATACTTCAATGCCATGTGATGTTGTATTCAAGTCTATCACAAGTCCCTTCAAATCCCTGTAAGCCCATCACAAGTCATTCAGTCTTTTTAAGCCAATTCACAAGCTATTCAGCTTTTCAGCCTTCAAGCGAGCTGTGACAAAAAGCATTCTTTTGTCATTGTTCACCATCATGCCTAAGACTGGCCTTGTGAAAGGAGTTGTGAAGGGACTTGTGGTGGGCAACACTGCATCAATGATCCACCAATCAGATGATGGGGATGCATGCAGGTGTTGTATAATAAACGATGTGTCCTAATTACATGTACATGTGATTCTTTATGTTGCACTTTTGGGCCACGCGCGCAAAGGTTGGTCAGTTTGGTAAGAAATACGACACAAATTACAAGAAACAATTATTCCTGTCTCGAAATTGGCTTTAATGTCAGTCAACATACAAAACCAACACAAATATTCATGAAATTTTTTTTGAAGATTTCTTTAGATTTAAAACACGGCCGTTAGGCCCTAAAGTTGACCTTCAATCCAGTGAAATCGGAAGGGTTGACATCTCTGCAAATACACATGCGTAAAAAACCAACGATCCAACTCATTTGTATTACATTCATGTGTTCTTGAAGTATTGCTTGGAAACGAAGTTGACTCATCATGTCACTTTTTATGCGGAAATAGTCAGTTACAGCCCATGCCAAATTAGATCAGCTTCTTTTGTTTTAGTGTCATCATTTCACCATTGGCGATTTTTTATTTAATATCCAAAGATCTATAAGGCATTCGAAAAAAATTGCCCAATTTATGATGATGCTGCTGAGCGCCATGGTCAGCAGAATTCTCAACTGGTGCACATGCAAACGTACGTGTACGTGTGTACGCGGCACTGGGTACCAGTACTTGTCGCGCTGCACGGTGTGGTGATTAGAATGAATGCGAAGGAGAAGTGATCTACAAAATTGAAACAGGTGAAATTTAATTAATCTGCTTGGCCACCACACATGGTGATAAAGAATCAACAGTAACATTGCCACAATCTTGGACTTCTTAGAACAGTTAGGATTTGTTCGTTTTGTCATTGTTTCGGTAGAGTAGGGGAATATTTTCATTATATCAATCGTGTGCGTGACGCCACTTATGCACATGTACTAGTGCAGGCTATTTAAGCATTCATACCAAAGTACCGATACCTGTACATTACGATGAAGTTTCGTGGGTTTTTAGACCTTATGGATTCCTCATCCTCAATATTGGCATCTCTGGCAATCTTTTGTCATTTATTTTAGCCCTTCAGCTGTTCTCTTACATAAGCCTTACCACAAATACTACATGGGTGATTTTGCATAATGGTAGAAAAGCCTTGTGGGAAGGGAAAAGGGCAATGTTTGCTCCTTTTTTTCCTTTCCTTCCCACATTGCCTTTCTACCAGTGTGCAAAAACACCAGGATGCAACATTCCCAATTAGGCTTATGTACAAGAACATTTAAATAGGAAATAACATTGCAAATTTCTATGAAAAGTCCAGTCTGTTGACTTCATTTTATTGATTTTAAACATGTTTGAAGGATACCGGTACTTTTACTTTTTATTCAGGAAAAGAAGTCCCAGGGGTAATGTAAAATTGTGAGGGTCCTTTTTTTTGTTTGATTGCAGACAAATCAGGAAAATCGTAATGCTGTCATAAAGCATGAAAACATACCACATGGACAGAAGGTACATGTACAGTACATTGTACTTCATTTGAACATTGTTATATGTACAACAGACGTGCAGGTACGGTAGACCCCATATTTATTATTTTCAGTAGGTCTACAGCTACTAATGTACATGTACATGTAACTTTGTGGTGAACAAAATTTTTAAAAATTGATAAGAAGACCCTCACTGTAAATAGAACTTCCTTCAAACATTAGCCTAGAGTAGAATCTTTATTCACAAGTGCTTTTTCATTCATGCAATCAATCTGTTGGGATTTCTTGGAATGTGTGCCGACTCCCGGTATGTTGGGGTTTGTTGGAACATGTTCCAACTAGCTTCAGTGGCCGATGTGACATTTTTGACCTTACTACAGTACACAAAACAGGGACTACACTGACACAGCTGGCATGACTGGTTATCCTTGTTTTGTTGCTCAGTGCTACACGTAGAACCGAAAATACTGGGAGAGTAGTCACAGGTTTTTTATAAGAGATACACTGTCGTGTAATTTTGTTGAATGCTCAAAAAATTTACTCACCAGTTAAAAAACCAAGCAACTCCATTTTTCCATTTGAGAACTGCCAAGGCACTTTCATGTACGTGTAAAATTTGTGATATACACGTAAGCAATATGGTGGAAGGCCATTGCTGAGGGACACCTCTATACAGTAGATTTAATCAACTTAACTCTCAACGTTTCAACTTATCTCATGTTCAAACTAACCCCATCTCCCCTACCCTTACAGGTTGCAGCTAAGGCCAAATTGTCATGGAATGGAATAAATTAGAATGTTAGATCGTACACATATATCCAACAAAATAGTGGGACGAAATGAAAGTACCGAGGCAGTGTCTTTTCCTCTAAGTTTTAAAGTGGCCTGGAGTACGTGCTCGGTCTCCAGCCTTTTCAGGAAAACTCTCATCTGTGTGCTGGAGCAGGGAGCTACAATGTGTAATGTTATCAAGAAGGGACTAGACAGAAGTTACCAAGTTCTCAATGGAGATGGGCTCTCCAGAAGGGGAATAGAAATTGATTTATCACGTCAGTCCTTCATTGAAAAACACCTGCACGGGCCAGTGCTGCAGTGATTTGTACATACCGGTATATTTGATTTCTCCGTTCAGGCTGAAACTGATGTGGGAAGGCAAAAAAAAAAAATCAACAACAAAAAGAGAGACGAAAAGCAAAACAGAAATTAGCTATAAAGTGAAAATGTCAGTGCCAATCCTTACATGCATGTTACGCATATCACTTCAGTTTCAGGAAAGGTGCGCAAAGAAGTTGGTTCAACGTGTACATTTAGGGAGTAAACCTAGAAACTTGTACGAGTAGTTTGTCATGCTGAAGCAGTAAAAATTGCAAATGTAAATGTACTGTAGTATTGGAATTTTCCTCCTTAATTGATTGTTTATGATGAACTAAAGCGTAGTTTTGAGCTAAGATGTCAAATGCAGTGTACGTGTACATGTATGCAGACGTACCTTCACATTTTGTCAATTAGTGTTCTCGCTGCATAGATGTACTTCTGCATTTGTATGCTCCGGTATGATAAGGCATAGGAAATCGCAATCATGCTCTTAATTTGAAGTCTGAACTGACGTCTACATTTTAACCGTTGTTGACACGTTTATTAGCCTGACAGTATGCTCCAAGCCGTACATTGTCTAAGTACCAAATGCTTGGCAGCCCTCCAAGTTCTGTTTGTCTCTCACTGAGTTAAAAAAAAAAAGGTAGTGTAACTTCCAAGCTTTAAAAATCCGGCAGCACAAATGAACACTATAGACCCCTACACTGCTGCAGGCCCCGCTAAAACTCCTGTAGACTATCTAGCGGACATTTCATTTTACTTTAATTGCACGCCAGGTTTAGAATTTGGAATTTGCAGAACTCTGCTTGATTTGATGTCATTGTACATGTAAAAGTCTGATTCGTGAAGGTTCAGTGGGACAAAATAAAAACCAGTCATAAAGCACAAACGTTACATTTTTCCATTACAAAACTTGTACACCTGCTTAAAAACAAACATAGTGTAGCAGATTGCTGTGAGAAAGAGGAAAACTGAGACTGTGTTTTTCTTTGTCCCTTGAATGATAGCTCTCTCCTACAGACCAATTAAGCAAGCACAATGAAATATTGAGAACCACAATTCAACACAATATTAACTTTTGATAATAGGAAGAATGGCCTTTATTTCTTTGTTTGTGTGCCTGTCCTGCGTGACCTCTGCGGTGGTAGGGCCAAAGACTTACTTTTACTGTCTACTTTGTCCTCATTTGTTTCCTATCTGCTCATGCAGTCAGTTTTACTCTCTGCTGGGTAAAATATGAAGTGAATAATGCAGATGTCATTTTCCAATTTCTTCCATTTCCACGTTCCAGCTCCCAATCCTTAACTCTCTTCAGGTATGTACAAGTACCGGTACGGTGCATTTTTTTTTTTAAATGATGGTCTACATGTACATGTACTTGACGGAAGGCTTCCTGTCAATTGAAGTTTAGGACAGTATTAGTTGGCAGGAAGCCCATTCAGGTTGATTTGGGGTCGGGGGATTAATCGTTCATGGTACCAGTATAATATTCATTTGCATGCAGCACTGTACACCTTGCACAGCTCATTTGCCTGTTATCAGCACTCTTACTGCATCCAGCACTGGGGGGATTCTGCAAGGTGTTGTTTGTTGTCTCCAGGTGCCTACGTGTCTGTCTACAGTCTATGCTCCAGTCATGAGCTCCCATGCCTCCAGTGTGACTTCATAACACCTGTGCAGCATGTGTCCATTAATTAAAGTTGTTTTGCGGCCCATTTTGAGTTGAGTCTCACATCAAATCACAAGTCTTGTCGTATGTATGCGTTTAACCACTTTCACACAGTATTATTCCACAGTGAACTTGTCCCAGGCGTGATATTATTTTGGGCCAAAAATATTAACTTCTTTTAAAATGACCGAATGTCACAACTAATATAGTGTACAATCTTTGACAAGGATGGGTTTACAGATGTTTACCCTTTGTGATAATTGCTTCAATACTTAGCGGTATGTTACATTTCTTAGCGCACTGACGGCACTTTTTAACTCTCGGAGACAATCTTGGCTAGTGATACGGTAGTTACTCCTAACACCCAGCAGTAACACGCTGTGAGACTGGAGGCACTTTACACTCAACTGTAGGGTACATGTTTATATTGCCTGCCTAGTCTGAGCATTCTTTTGTTTTCATGTGGGAGTTAAGAATACTCGGTGAAAATAGTCATTTTTCTTGCACCGTGTCCAAGTACAAGAATGAGGGAACACTGGTACCAGGGTACGGTAGCTTGTGCAGGCGCAGGTCCGGCGATGGAAACTCCCTTTCCCCCCATCCTGAGACCGGGGGAAAAAAGGGAAATAATTAAATGGGGAAAACATTAAAAAATAACTTACAGGTACATGTAAGTGTACCAATACGATTGTAAACAATGTCGTGTATGGCCTAGGCGTAATGGTACATCGTTTCTGCTTGTCCACCAAAATGAGAGATTAAAGCGACTTCTTGACTTGACTGAAGATTGTACCTGCATGTGTCACTGTACCAGTAAATGAACTTTGAGAGTCCGACCGCAACATTGGGCAAGTGTAAGTGAAGACTGTAAATGCATGGAGGAAGGACACAGGAGTTTGAACTGCCCGGGCTATAAAATCTGGCCAATTACCGCTTTCTGGCATGCCGGGTATGTCCACAGCCAGAGCGCAGCGCACGCTTGCTACTCACCACCTGTTTTGCAACCTTAAGCCCCTCTTTGTACCCCATGATCATTGCCGCAATTTTTCGTTGGTAATCTGCATCCCTGAAACGCTGTGTACTGCAGTATAGGAAGTTGAATATTCATGCCATCGTTGATGCTTGATATGATCTGACAGCAACATCAAATTTAGTGCTTGCGCAGACCTTATTAGGCTGTGTACCCAAAGTGTTCATCTACAGTTGTTGCCTTATCGAACGCTTTCTTCTGGACTTTTGGGAATAAATAGCCAAGTTGCTTGTAAGATTTTGAGTTTTATTTGAATAATTTTTATTACAGAATTTACACAAAAAGATATTCTATGAGATCTCATGATCACTCCCTGTGATGAAACAGCGCATTTTCTTTTTCATGAACTTAACTGTCCTGTGGTGTTCAACATGTTGTTGGCCAGCCAAACTCGTACGGAGATTTCGAAAACTGATGTTTTGGAGTGACAAAATAAAATTACAAACATATGCATGGATAATGGAAAAGGGCATCAAAATCTTTAAAAAATTATTCAAAACGGCAAAAGTAAATCTAATGTTAGATATTTTTTCTTTCTGCTTCCTGGTCACTGCGATAAGATGTAGTTATATTGCTACGATATTACTGGCCCCACTTGTCCAGCTAAGCTGCAGGCAGAAATCAGGTATTTTTGGAATGTTTACTATTGTTCATCGAGCGCTTTGATGTGCCAGAGTTGAAACTCCTTCTGTGTCCTTCCTCCATGGTACATGTATGTGTATATAGTACTGTACACGTACAAGTAGTTGAACCAGCATCACCTGCATGATGGATGGTTTGGGGACAATGCTGTCAACCATTTGCAACCAGCCAGTGGTTAAATTGTGCATGTAATTCATCCAGGGGGAACTCGACCATTGGCACAGGTGGACCAGTGGACCAGCTCACCGCAGAGGAAAGTCTACAGGTACTCCCCTGACAATGTGCGGACTTACATGTTCTGTAGAAGGAAGGCATTGATTAATTAAATGTACAGGCTGCACGTACATGTACTTTGCTTTTCTGCACCGTGTCTGAGCTTGACTGCAACCCTTGCAGAATTTCAACCAGTGCCTTTTGTTGTCAGAAAATATAGTGCGTGTGCCAGTGTGCACAGCATGTAATAAAAGGGTGTCCTTTTTTGGGGGGGGTAACATGTACCGGTACTAGTACTATTCTCAGTTTCATTTTGCCCGTGAAAAATAGGCGCTGCACAAGAACGGTACGTTCCTTTCTCACAAAATTTGGGTCGTAAACGGTAGAACTCCTGAAAAGAATGGAATGCGCTTGGGCAATATTGGGGGAAAAAATGTTTTGAGGGGGCGGATTCTGCTATTGCAGACCCAGGTAACCTGACTGACTGGGGGGGGGAAATGTTTTGAGGGGGCGGATTCTGCTCTTGCTGACCAAGGTAACCTGACTGACTCACGTCCTTCAGGCCTCATTGTCGCCGGCAAAGGCTGCAATGCCACACACAGCACATGTACATTCTTCAGAGAGCAGGCAAGCCCCTGAAGTTGTGGAAAATTGAAAAAAAAAGTACAGTATGAGAAAAATGCGGAGCCATCAGCCAATACCCTGGATCAGCAAAATAACAACTACCTGTGCATACATGTACCGGTACATGGCACAAGTGGTGACCGTTTCAAACATGTATGCCCCTTTCATAAAGAATTCGTGGTCATTTTCCATAAAAAGAAGCCTGCCTACTGGTATGGTACATGTACGAGTACAGTACATGTACATGTACATGTACATGTACTTAACTGTGTGTGGCATACGGGGTAATAACCTGGAAGTTTTTTATGGCGATGGCAGCTGATCTCAGGGAAATTGGTTGGCCATGTGGTACACCTTGACATCTTTCAATTAGACCCGATATAAAAGATGCTAATAAAAATGTTGAGAACCCCCCCAAAAAAAGCTACATTGTAAAGGTACCAGTAAATTCCATCCAAAAGTATGCAATAAACTCCAAAATGTATCAACGGCCATCAGAATAAGGCCATAAAAAAGATACATGAATTCATTTCCAATTTTTTGCCCAAAATGTACATATGTACTTGTACATGTTAATAGTGTTGTGGATGATTTACGATAACATTACATGTAGAGCATAAGAGCCTGGGTTATATGGACCATCTGACAGGTGGGGATCAGTGCACTTCCATTGAAGCAGCTTACAATTGGAGCCATCCGTAATACCACTGTTCCATTATGTTTCATAAGTTTTAACTTTGTTGGACCAAAACATTTAGCTGTTCTTGGCACATTCACACATACTGTACGTCATACAACCTCCTTGTGTTAAAATTTCCCTCGTGCATGATGGTCCGTGAAAACATTTTTCACCTGCCTTCAGAAAGTTGACAACAGCATCCAGTGTACATGTACAGACATTGCATACTGGTACATGTATAACATTGGTGTCAAAATGTACTTAAGATGGCGGAGGAAAATTTGTGAAGGCTTGTAATGCAAATGGTACATGTATAGTACTATAAAGTGCAGTAGTGATATCAGAAAAGAAACTGGGGAGTGGGGCAGTTCCTGTTTCACTGTGCATGTAGGTCTTTTAGTTTCATTTCCGGGTAAACACAATCTTACACCTGTACCAGTATGTGATACACCTGCATGGATGTAAGGCTTATCTCTTGATTTTGTTCTTATTGTGATAGCAATTTTTTTGGGGGGGGGGTTGACATTTGTATTGGGTTTTGTCATGAAATGGCTGTTTTGTCCGCATCGCAGAGCCCCCAGCTTGGTACTGGTCCAAGTTTACTGGTTATGCCCCAAGAGTGCATTTGTTGTATTGGTGTAGCATGGTGTAGCTTGCCTTGCAGCCTTTTACGGGTAGAGCTGGGATAAAAGTGAACATGTACATTCACGGGGACCACCAACCCCCCCCCCATTCAAATTTGCACAATGGAAACTGCTTCATTTTGCTGGTCCATTGCTCTAAGCCAAGGTCTGAACTATCCCTATGGCTGAAGGTGCAGGTGCTCATCCGTCCCATTAATGTCATGGTTGAAGCAGTACAATCAAAATCATCATACCAGTACAAGTACGGAAAGAAAAAAATCCTTTTGATATTTATTTGCCAAATACATTGTAAAGGAGTCCACTGGATAAAGAAAAGTGGCTTTCGTCGTGCCCTGCGGCAAAACTACAGACTCGCCAGATGCCAAATCTTTTTATGTATTGTATTATTTCAATATCTGCTGAACAGAGAAAGGACTGCGCAGGAGTTGAATTTCTTTTGTTTTTTGGGGTTTTTTTGGTCCACAGCAATTTTACTCTTGTCAAGAAAGTGTGCAACAATGAAGCCATTGTTGGGGAGAGGGGGACAGTTTCAGGAGAAGGGGTATTGTGTATGCATGTACATACATGTACATGTATTACTTTACTAAAGGCAAATGGTGCTGCTTATATTGTAAGTACGGGATGCTAACAGAGAAGATGAAATCCTAGCGGTACAAATTTCTGATACCTTCACAAGTGTAATGCTACAGCGTGTATTTGCATAACATGAATTAACTTGTTCCCCTCAAAAATGTACTGGCAAGTACCGGTACATGCTTGGTACATTCTTCACTGTGACTGTACAGCTCTACATTTACACGTACATGTACATAATGGGTGCAGTACGTAGTGGGAATTTGCAATATTTTATTGCTGTTTCCATATTGGGGACCATCGCACAGCGCCTATGTCTGCTCATAATCTTGGTAGCATTTTTATAGGGTATAGCTCAATGCACTGTGGGGTACATAACGTGCAGCTCGGCATGAGTGTGTGTTACCATAAGGCAGGGGGCGAGGTGCCCAGCTTTTCTAGGATCATCCCCTGAATGGAATCAAATTATAATATTGATCGCTGGTGCATTAGACATGTATCCACCATATGGGGAGACTCCTGTACAGTGTAGTGAATGACAGTTGGATTTTTTTTCAAGGCAACACCCTCAGTAATTAGCAAGAGACTCCGGTGCAAATAGGAAGAATGCTGAAAATTTGTGGAAGTACTGAAATGAAACGTGATTGATAGGCACAAACAGAAGATGTTGAATAAATCATGTCTGTGGTTTCCTGTACACAAAATTTGTGGAAGTACTGAAATGAAACTTGATTGATAGGCACAAACAGAAGATGTTGAATAAGTCATGTCTGTGGTTTCCTGTACACAAAATTTGTGGAAGTACTGAAATGAAACTTTATTGATAGGCACAAACAGAAGATGTTGAATAAATCATGTCTGTGGTTTCCTGTACAGAGATTTCTGAATGGTTTGGTCAGCAAAACAAACAGCACCAATGTGAAAACAAAACAACTAAGTGGAACAAAAACAAATATTAGAGACGGTGGTTGTAAGTTAAACACCACAGGCCTGTTCCAGAAGTATTTTTTGAATTATCTGTTAAAGTAAATGAGAGCAAAAAACATGTAGGTAATGGGCAAATTTGCTCAAAACTCTTAAGTTTGAAATTTTCTTTTACAAATAATGAATATTCAATAATTCACTAAATTTGAAAAAATGATGCCATAAGGATGTCAAAACAATTTTGTAGTAGGGTGGAAATCTGTATTACATACATGTACATGTAATATAGATTTATATGGTACCAAAAAAGTCCTTTGATCATAAATGTTAAAAAAAAAAGAGAGAAAACTTGGGCGATGTCATCACCATGATGTCCCTTTATAATTTCCATCCATTGGACGCATTGCACCTATTTTATCAGGAAATTTAGTGATGATCAGAAAATGCCTTATAATGTACATGTACAATGTACATGCGGGTACTGTCATAGAAGGTAAATGGCTATTAGTAGAATATTACTTATCACGTTTGTGATGTCACACGACCAAGATGATGCCATTGTGACAACGCTCTTTTGGGTCATACCATGAGGTTGGGGCACAATTTCTGACTGTGTCCTTGTTACATCAGTGACATTTACGGTACCACCTGTCATGACCTGTAGAGTAGGTCATTTACTCTGTAAAAATAACACACACCTCTGTATTCAGCCTTGCAAGATGTATAACAATGTCAGTTGGAATCCACATGCAGGGAGATAACTGTTCATTTTTACAGAACTCATATAACAACTGACACCGTCACAAATTGTGCCGCAACCTCCTGGAATGGCCCCCTAGTGAACCATCTGTAGATGATGACTAACAGTGTTGTGCCCTGGTTTAAAGTTGATCGAGTTGATAAAAATTCCCAAAGGCAACACTTGTGCTCTTGGTGATGAAGCATTTATTGGAGACGATAAGAAATGCATGACCCCCCTTTCGTCGCACATGAATGTAACCGTGAAAGGTGCACAACATTGCTCAGGGTTTACTGTGCCGGTACCACTAACGCCACTTTCAGTATTTGCATGAATGCACACGTACATGTACGTTCAGTACTTTTCCAGCACACAAAGAGTAACACAGATGAAGTCAAGGCAAAGCGTTGAATACACCTGTATCAATTTACGTACAGATAAATAACGCACGGTGATTTGCATTGTGGAATATGACAGGTTATGTGCCTGCTCCATGCTGGTGACTAGATTCATAATTCTGAGCCCATATCTCAGAGTAGCAATGTGCAAGATCAGCTGCCCTGACAGCTTTTTCAGTGCCTGACTGAAAAGAATTTGCCGTAAAGTACTTGTTTGAGCTCGATCACTTTTGATATAAAGAAAGAACACAGCTGTCTCCACGCCAGCCTTGTTACCCATCGCAACCGCTTGTAAAAGATCTGTTCACTAGTCCTTTTGCAAGTCCTGTCTCAAGTGAACCTGGGGAAGAACGGTGATGGAATGTTTTGATTTGGATGTATGCATGTAGCTCGTGGCTCATTCCAGACTGGACAGCTCATGATCAACCAGACTGCTTGAAGTACATGCACCACTATAGATCTCTCTCATAGATCGCTGTCTTCCTAGGATTGTATGTACAAATCATTCTTTACGTGCACACTTTACTCCGAATATCTTCAAAATACGGCACTGCAGATGCATGTCATGTATGTAGGCCTACCAGTATTTTAAATAAAACATGTAAATGCACGTGGCAATCTGTAGGAAGTAGCATCATACAGAGAGAGCTGTAAGACCGTTCTTGCACCGGTCTGTTGTACATTACACGTACATGTTTTTTGTCTGGCCCCATATCGGGAAACAACCAATAATGTGGTTTACTCATCAAAATGATCAATTGAGTTTTTTGGGTTAATCTGTTTCAGATGACCTCCATGGCTACCCACGACACCGCCCAGCTGGTGGAGAAGGGGGCAGAGGCCAGCGGAGACTCAGATCAAAAGAGCCAGGAGGATCGCAGTGGCATCCCTGGCGCTAGCTTCAATGTGGCCAATAGTATCCTGGGATCTGGAATCATAGGTAATGTTGGGACGGAATGACTGTGTCAGAGTTTCTGTTTGTTTTGTGTAGAAGGCTTTAAACGGGATGGGCAGCGCTGGGAAGATTTCTTCTAAAACATGCATCAGCACATAAAACAAACGTATATATAATAAGAAAACACATCTGAATAATTTCAAACTGTGCAGAAATATGTTAAAATTATAGTTTTCACGACCCTATTTCACTCCCTTCTGGGAGCAAGCGCTAAACAACAGCCGTTGGGTACTGAAAGTTGTCTGAAGATCAACTTTAGTCTTGTCTGGAAACTTGAGTCCATCCAGTGATGTCACGTTTTTGCCCAGATTTGTCTGCTGCCCTCATTGATCGCTTTCGATAAATTTTTTGCAAAGAGCCTAGTTGGAGACTGAAAAAACACACATGCCAATTTTTGCTGATTTAATGACATAAAAGAGGGGTTAATCCAACTTATTGCATGTAAGACGATTGAAAACTACCATATAACGTCAAATTAACCCTGCATGGCCCATCCCCTTTAATACATACATGTAATACCGTACATGTACTAGGAGCCATGGGGCTATAGCTGGCGTAAATGTAAATTTGCATGTCAGAGGTAATTACTTAATCTACATGTGCTTGTGCATGTAAACGTTTGCGAATGGACATTACATTACTTCTAAATGTAGAGCTTCAGAAAGTGCCACCATTCTCAAAAAGTACTCAGGAATGTCCTGGGTCAGTTTAGTCATGATCCAAAATCTGAGCAAAGTCCTGAGACAGCATGAGTTACTGATAAGTCTTAAGTTGTTATGGTACAAGTCAAAGCTACATGTGCATGTACGTACATGTACATGTAAGCCATGCCATGGTTTACATGTGAGTCATTCATGAGTCAAACCATTTTTAAACAAATCTAGGTTTCCAGTCACTTATTTTCAGTAGATTCCGTACATGTACCCCGTACTGGTACATGTACATGTATGTATACATGTAGGCTTGTTAATCAAGATCTACTTACGCATGCTGAAAATGGCTGAATCCCGAGTCAACGTACAATGTACATGTGCGGTAATGCGCTTCCTGTGTTTGCATAAAACCTTATCAGATTCTTGATTTTTTCCAATTTTCTTCATGGAATTTCGTACTACACGTACGTGTACATGAGCAATCTTTCTCCTGTTTTCTCTCTTGGTGTGAAGGGAGGAAAGTCTTTCCCCTTGGACTTTGTGGTAAGGCTCATGGACATGTTATAAACTGTAGATCCTCCCTTGAAGTGCACATTCAGTACTAACTTGTCAAGGCGGAGTGTTGGCTGTACACAGGTCGTGGGTAGCCCATTCTCTACAGTGGGCTTTGTTGTTCGTGTAGCTTTTATCTCTACTGGTGTTCGGTATGTCATGTACATGTATGTTGCCATCCCTAAAGACTAACTCCAAGTTCACATTCTGCAAAGTGTTCACTCCTTGAGACTTTACATACATGTACACTTGAAAACCATCGACGTGTCTAGGCATAATTAACACCCCCCCCATGCAAATTGCAAAATAAACTCGCCCTTCCTTTCTGGAATTCCCGATTGATTGATTCATCATTAATTGAACAGTGGAGAAAAGACTTGAAAGCGCTCATTTCACTTTGGGACAGGTGCATCATGTTCTTGTACATTTGTTGTCCTTTTGTGACTGATAAGGGCATGGGAAAATGGTGTGGTGTGATAATACATGTGCCAGTACAGTTGTATAATCCAAGGACCGGAGCCAAGTCCCCGGACCTGATGGTCCACTCAACAAAGACCTATACTGTCACTTGTGTGGACTACATGTGTGTATACACGTGTTGACCAACGCTGAAACATAAATGTGTGTTTGTAGATGTAGCACCAAAAATATTATGTGGAAACATTTTTGTCCCCACAACTCTGTCCTGAATTTCCTTGGCGATAGAAAGGGTCTCCTCAACGCTGTTATAGCCTGGACGTACCTGTACGCGTATGTATAAATGTGCATACTGATATGTATTTACATGTACGAGTATCCGCTCCGAGCAGGAACAAGAGAGAGCGTGTTTTGAAATGAGATTGACAGTGGTTTGGTCTGCACTCTCCGCATAGGCGCGCATTGTTTATGCACATTTGATGCGGAGCATGCTTTGTACGCATAACATATTTAGTCTGGAATATACGGTCTTCACGTGCGCGTGCGAGAACCCAGTTGGAAAATTTAGACCATCCGTCTTTCTTTCGGCGGTGAGGGTGTACATCAGTTCTGGGCGGATAGTGAAACATGACTTCATGCGTAGAGAGGACAGTTTCTTTTAAGAGAAATTAGAACCGAGTTGTGGGCACATTTCTCTGTCCTCATATGTGTATTCATCCTCCACAGAACTGGTGCAATGGCAAGCGCTGGTATTGGACAGCTGTGGGTGGGGCTCTTGAGGGCCAAAAAGATCCTGTATGCTTCTATAGTGTCAAAAAGCTTGTACATGTACACTGTACAAATGTGGAATTTTCTTTTACAGTTGGTTTCAAGGATGCATCGGGGGGGGAGGGAGGAGAGGAGGGAACAATGCTGGCATGGCCACCTCCCAAAAAAATAAGGATTTTTTTTAATCATTGAGAGTGAAGATACCAGTGTTAAGTGCTCAAATGGAAAATGTTCGGGGCGGACAGAGCAATTTTGTTCAGGAAATTGTTTTTAAGCAGCTGCTTAATTAATTGTGACAGGTGCATTCGGTTAATGCAAAAGTGCACCAGGTATACTGCTTACATATACTTGTTTTGCCCCCACCTCCAAAAAAAAAAAGAAAAAAGAAGAACAATTTGGGTCTGGATCTGAATCATTTCACGCTTATAGCTTGGAGTTACAAGTGACATTACAGTGGAATTTTTCTTTACGTACATATTTAACCATTAAGTATCCCAATTCAGTAATATTGATACGTGCAGGGGAAAAAAAATCAGCTCCCATAAGAATGTGCCTGTACAGTGTACATGTATATTTAGATCCCGAAGAGTATCGGTGGTTGCAAACAACACGTACAGACTCACTTTGCATTGTCCAGAGCTTGCCCCCCCCGCCGTCATAAGCTGTGAGTAACAGCCATCCATCAACTCACTTGAATAATGCATCATCGCCAGCAGGGAAGTAGATCAATACTCGACCTGTGTACATGTACATGTATGTGTATTATGCTTGGCGTGGGCAGTGATACATGGCTCTAGCCAGGCGCATGTACATGTATGTGTGTACATCAGAGAGCTCAGTATTTGCTTGGGACGGGCCATTGTGCTGATGTCATGTTATTATTTCAGTGACAGCTCTTGGACGGTTTTTAATTAGGGGGGCTGTGATTGTCAGCTGCTTGTATTTAATTAGACATTGTTCCTATTTTGACCCAATAACTACATGTACATGTACCTGTACATCAGGGGAAATATTTTTTGAGTCAATAACTGTGTTGCAGAAAATCTATTTTTGGGCCCAATTGCACCATGGTATCAGTACCGCACCTCAGAAAAAATCGACATCGTACCGGCATTTTTGAGCTGACCAAAATTTCTTTTTTGCTTCTTGCCACAAAACACGATAGCATACATTCAGAAACCAAAATGTGCACTGGTAAAGCTGTACATGTACCAGTAAGATGTACATGTAGGCTACCTTTTAGGCAGCTTTTCAGGGAAAGTTAGCAGTACCTACATGTTCAGCAAGCAATCTGAGGTTTACTGTTTGAACATATTTACTTCTATAGCTTTAAAGTCCGCAGTACGGTACTTGCGAACAGTAGTGCATGTAAACTTGAAATATGGTGCTCCGGGTGTACAGAAAGGTAGTTTGCATGTTCCAGCACATGTGTACAATGTACATGCCTCCATGAATTTATGAGAAAAACAGTGTTGATGAATACTAGTACATGCACATACATGTACTTTGTGTAAAGGCAAAACCCATAATATAAATTAACATCTCCCCAACACAAAAAGTACATGTGTATCTTGAAAAAAGGACACCTTGAAAGAAAAACAGAAACAGAATTCTTTCTCATGAATAAAAAGTTCCTCAGTCTTAACATTTGCTGTACTGTTAGCCAACCATTGCCTCTGTGGATAGGATTAAGTGCTGTACTGTCCATTCAGATCTTGTTTGTTCTTGGTAATATACTGTACACAAGTACTGAAGTTAACCTGCATACAGCTTTAAGTGTATAGTGCATAGCAGTGTTGTAGTCGAGTACTTTCCGAGTACCAACGTTCTCCG